GGGGAGGGCAGGGGTGAGTGTGTGTGGGGAGGGCAGGGGTGAGGGTGTGTGGACTCGGGAGGGGAGGGTGAGCGTATGTGGGGAAGGGAGGGGTGAGTGTGTGGGTGGAGGGGAGGGGTGAGCGTGTGTGGGGAGGGGAGGGGTGAGCGTGTGTGGAGAGGGCAGGGGTGAGGGTGTGTGGGGAGGGCAGGGGTGAGCGTGTGTGGGGAGGGGAGGGGTGAGCGTGTGTGGGGAGGGCAGGGGTGAGCGTGTGTGGGGAGGGGTGAGTGTGTGTGGGGAGGGCAGGGGTGAGGGTGTGTGGGGAGGAGAGGGGTGAGCGTGTGTGGGGAGGGGAGGGGAGGGGTGGGCATGTGTGGGGAGGGCAGGGGTGAGGGTGTGTGGACTCGGGAGGGGAGGGGTGAGCGTGTGTGGGGAGGGGAGGGGTGAGCGTGTGTGGGGAGGGGAGGGGTGAGGGTGTGGGAAGGGGAGGGATGAGGGTTTGTGGGCTGGGGAGGGGTGAGCATGTGTGGGGAGGGCAGGGGTGAGGGTGTGTGGGCTGGGCAGGGGTGAGCGTGTGTGGAGAGGGCAGGGGTGAGCGTGTGTGGGGAGGGCAGGGGTGAGTGTGTGTGGGGAGGGGAGGGGTGAGGGTGTGTGGGGAGGAGAGGGGTGAGCGTGTGTGGGGAGGGGAGGGGTGAGCGTGTGTGGGGAGGGCAGGGGTGAGCGTGTGTGGGGAGGGGAGGGGTGAGGGTGTGTGGGGAGGGGAGGGATGAGGGTGCGTGGGCTGGGGAGGGGTGAGTGTGTGTGGGGAGGGGAGGGTGGGGGTGTGTGGACTCGGGAGGGGAGGGTGAGCGTGTGTGGGGAAGGGAGGGGTGAGTGTGTGTGGGGAGGGGAGGGGTGAGCATGTGTGGGGAGGGCAGGGGTGAGGGTGTGTGGGCTGGGCAGGGGTGAGGGTGTGTGGGGAGGGCAGGGGTGAGGGTGTGTGGGGAGGGGAGGGGTGAGGGTGTGTGGGGAGGAGAGGGGTGAGCATGTGTGGGGAGGGCAGGAGTGAGCGTGTGTGGGGAGGGGAGGGGTGAGCGTGTGTGGGGAGGGCAGGGGTGAGGGTGTGTGGGGAGGGCAGGGGTGAGGGTGTGTGGACTCAGGAGGGGTGAGGGTGTGTGGGGAGGGCAGGGGTGAGGGTGTGTGGACTCGGGAGGGGTGAGTGTGTGTGGGGAGGGCAGGGGTGAGCGTGTGTGGGGAGGGGAGGGGTGAGGGTGTGTGGGGAGGGCAGGGGTGAGGGTGTGTGGGGAGGGCAGGGGTGAGGGTGTGTGGACTCGGGATGGGTAGCCCCCACTCCAGAACAGACATCGCACTGTAGCCTGCACTTGGAGTCTGATGCTCTCTCAGGCAGTCTTGTCCTGAGTCATAAATAAGAAAGGAAAAATCAAAGTTTGGATTTGCTATTTTCTCCTCTTCTGAAGTTGGCATTGAGTCGTCAAGTCTGGGCGGTGCAGGTTTCGACTGTGGTTCTCCGCAGGGCGGTTGATGAGAGGCTCTGTGGCCGGCCCACTAGGAGGGCATCAGATGCTTGCCCTGTAATTGCGCTGGGTGTGCCGGCCCCCGGAGTTCCCTCCACTGATGACAGGGTCAGGCAAAGAGGCCGGTTCCTGCTAGCTGCAGGTTTTGTGAGTACAGGTTGTGGGGTGCGGGTGTGGGTTGAGCCTCTGACCAGGGTGTGGTGGCGTCTCAGGCCACATTGCCAGTGGTGGGTGTCTGTGGCCGGGGCAGTGTGGACGCGTCTGTGGGTGTCTGTAGCCGGGGCGGCGTGGGCGCATCGTCTGTGGGTGTCTGTGGCTGGGGCGGCGTGGGCGCATCGTCTGTGGGTGTCTGTGGCTGGGGCGGCGTGGGCGCATCGTCTGTGGGTGTCTGTGGCTGGGGCGGCGTGGGCGCATCGTCTGTGGGTGTCTGTGGCTGGGGTGGCGTGGGCGCATCGTCTGGGGATGTCTGTGGCCGGGGTGGCGTGGACGCATCGGGGGTGGTGGTGCTGTGGCCAGGGCAGCGTGGATGTGTTGTCTGTGGGTGTCTGTGGCCGGGGCGGCGTGGACACCTGGGGGGTGGTGGTGCTGTGGCCGGGGCGGTGTGGACGCACCATCGGTGGGTGTCTGTGGCTGGGGCGGCGTGGACGCATCGGGGGTGGTGGTGCTGAGCCGAGACTCCTTGGGGGCGTGGTTCTGTGTTCCCCGTTCCCCCATCCGGGAGCCGCCTGGCCTTCCCTTTGGATGTAGCGTGAGTCTGGGGTTCTCAGTGTTTTTTGTGCTTTGTGAGGGTGAGAGTTACCCCAGAGAGAACGTCAGGCTCTTCCAAGATACCCCAAAGGGCGCGGGCAGCCCTCACTGTGCTGAGGCTGACTGTGGTCTCTCGGGCGTCTCTCCCAACTTGGGCCAGGTGCACAGTGGGGTAGGGCGAATGTGCACACATTTCTGACGGACTTGGGGGAGACCCTCTAGGTCCCCTTGAAGCACAGAGCCAGTGCACCTGGCTTCTCTGCCAAACACAGCAACAGTCACGGCCATCGGCCACAGCCACCTCCACGCCAGCCACAGCTGCATTTCTCCCCCGGGGCCGGCTGCACCAGAGCTGCCCACATCAGCGTCCTCGGCCGACAGCATCGCAGCCTCACTCTTATCACTCTTAGGGGTGAGTGAGCAGCAGGGGTGGCTTGGGTCAGGGCCCCCAACTCTGGGAGCCCAACTCTGGGAGCCCAACTCTGGGAGCCCACCTGCCCACCTGCCCACCTGCCTGGGGTGGTCTCAGGCCCCGTGTTGCCTTGTGGGTGGGTGGGCGGCACTGCTGACTGTGTCCGCGGCGATTATACAGATGACTTGGTCTTCCTGTCGTCCCCCAGCCCACGGGACTCCGGCCTCCACAGGCTTTGCCACCCTCCCCGGGGGTCAGGAAGCCCCAGAGTCCATAGGACAGAGGTTGCCCTGGGGGCAGGCGAGGCAGGACGGGCAGTGATACTGTGGTCTTGGCCATGACACCACCTGGGGGGCTGCAGTCTGACTTCTGCCCCTGCCACTGGCCATGTGGCCTGCTTACCGCCCTGGGCCTCAGTGTCTTCTACAAAATGGGGTTGTGATGGTTCCTGAGAGTTTGTGTGTAGAGGGCAGTGCTGGCACAACGTGTCAGAGACGGGGCCCTTCGCACCTCCTGCCTGTCCCACGCAGCTGCACCAGGCTCTGGGGGAGGGTGGGATCTGAGCTTCGTTCTTCCTGTGGGAAGTGCTCTCACTCCCTCTCTGTCCCCCCCTGCCTCTGTCTCTCTGTCCCTCTCCCCCTCGCCGTCTCTCTGTCTCCGTCTCTCTTTCTCTTCGCTCTCACTCTCCCCCAGCACAGGTCCCACCGTCTGGTTCGGTGTCCGCTGCTCTGCCGCTGTGTGGGCTCCCGGCTGGGGCTCTGCTCTGCTTCTCAGCCCGCTGCCTGCCCGCTGCCGCCTACTGCCCACCTGCCGCCCGCCCACCGCCCGCCCGCTCTTGTGCGTCACGGCCCCCGTCTCTCTGTTTTCTGGCACTGGAAGAAGACACTCTTTTAAAGACAGTCCTGTGACTCACGCCCAAAGGGAGGTCATTTGCATCTGCACAGCTGTCTGCAGTCTGGGGGCCTCTGCTCGAGGCTGGGGGCTGTGTGTCGGGCAGGTTCCTTCGGTGCTGCGTACGGGGTCTTTCACCCTGCAGACATCGCTGTGGGGTCTTTGGGAACTGAGACCCCGCTCCCCACTTTCTGATGAGAGGCCCGGTGTGTCTTTATGCCGTGGTCCGGGGCGAATGATTTGCCACATTTCCTGGGAATGCTATTTTCCATGTGCTTTCCAGACACCCCTGCCTTGGCCCACTTTGGAATCCAGCAGGTGACTTCAGGGCCCACAGCCCTCTCACGTCCACCCCTTGAACCCCGGGTGCACCCACAGCAGTCAAGGGAAACACTTAGAAACTGCCTTCCTCCCCGGAAGGGTTCCAGTTTCACCTCTGGGGCTGTTTGGGTTTTGTGCATTTCACTGCTGGCTTCACTGTTTTACCAACAGGGGTGACTTGGAAACAAGGACAGCCGAGCTGTTTGCTGAGGAAAGCCTGGATCTCCAGCATGCAGCGCCGGCTGGGGCCCCTGGCATGGGTCAGGGTCGGGATCAGGCCCCTCCGGGTTCGGACTGTCCATGGGGTGGTGCTTAGACGCTGTCTCCGGGCGGGGCCCAGCACCAGCAGTGACTGGTGACTCTCGGCCCTGAGGGGCTCATCCTCCCTCTGTCCTTCCTGTAGACGTGCCGGCCCCTGGTGGGCTGTGGGGGTCCTGGTTGGGGGTAGACCTCGTTGGGCAGCAGAGCCCTCTCCTAGCGCATGACCCAGGGGTCTGCTTACGTTCCTCTCCCTCTGAAATTCCCTGGTTCTTCAGTTTGGGTCCCTTTTTCTGGGCCTCTCTGACTTGTCCGTAACAGAAGTGCGGAGAGGTTTGGTGGCTGCCGTTGGCCGGGACGCAGGCCTGCAGGGCCCTACCTTGCTGGTGACTGCACCGGCCATCCGTGTGGGTGGGGAGCCCCCGTCCCCCCACCCCTGGCTGCTCCCCAGGCCCCTGGGCGTGTCCAGCCTGACACAGGTGACGCTCACCCCCTCACCTGCGGTTTCAGTCACCTGTGGTCAGCCATGGTCCAAAATGTTAAATGGAAAATTCTAAAACTAAGCGATTTCTGAGTTTTAAATCGTGTGGTGTTCTGTGTAGCGGCTGAGGCCCCGTGGTCCGCCTGTCAGTCACCTCGCAGCCTCTCCAGGTGGTGAGAACACAGACGCACGGGGTCCGGGCTCCATGGCTTCAGGCGTCCCTGGGGCCTTGGAGCGTTTCTCGAAGGGTACACAGTTCCCAAACGGCGGGACGTCTAAGCAGGTCCGGCCAGCAGAGAGACCGAAACAGCCTGGGATTTTCCGAGTTGAGGCTGTTTCCCCGGGTGTCCTGGTGTGGGATGTGCTTTCTGGCATTTTCCACGGAAGCCACGTCAGCCGCCTTCTGCCAGCTGCCAGGGCCGGCTGCCGCACTTGTCTTGGAGGTGGTTTCCAGAACAAACTTCCAGGCAGCGTGGGGCGCAGCGCAGGGGCACCGGGCCCGGATGGGGGTCCCTGGCTGCTCTGAGCATCACGTCCTCTGCCCGACAGAGCCCTGTCCCCAGGACTTTCCTCCCCTTTCCAGGCCACGCTGACCAAGTGCTTTGCAGGTGGGCGGCCCCTGGTGCTCTGCACAAAAGTCTAAAACTCTCCTTTCAGCGTGCGTGGAGGCTGCTGTGCACCCCACGGCCGAAGCTCTGAGGGTGCCCGGGACGTAGTGGGGAGGGTCAGGGCCGAGGCGATGCTGGCACAGAGGCACTGCTGGCCGGGGCGGGGCGGAGTCAGAGCTGCGTCTCCTGCAAGCTCCTCCGTTCACCATTCAGTGTCTTCCTGTGGCGCGGTTTGGAAAGCCTCGCTGTGTTCGGCTGTGTCCGTGCTCGGCTGTGTCCGTGCTCGGCTGTGTCCGTGTTTGGCTGTGTCCGTGTGGTGTCTCCGCCCTGGCCTGCCGCTCTCCAGGGCAGACGCTTTGCAAACCTGCCATTTTTCTTGCTTAGTTAGGACAATAGTTTTTAAACAGCATTAGAGTTAAGGAGATAAAACTCTGTGTTTGAGCATCGAGCAGAGCACATGGGGGCTGCAGGGGGCTGTGGGGGGGGGGCGCTGCAGGGGCTACAGGGAGGCTGTGGGGGCTGCCGTGGGGACTGCGAGGGGGGCTGCAGGGGCTATAGGGGGCTGTGGGGGGCTGCTGTGGCTACGTGGGGGCTGCAGGGGGCTGTAAGGGGGCTGTGGGGGGGCTGCAGGGGCTACAGGGGGGCTGTGGGGGGCTGCAGGGGGCTGTGAGGGGCTGCAGGGGGCTGCAAGGGGGGCTGCAGGGGCTATGGGGGGCTGTGGGGGGCTGCTGTGGGTACAGGAGGGCTGTGGGGGCTACAGGGGGGCTATGGGGTGCTGTGGGGGGCTGCAGGGGCTGCGAGGGGGGCTGCAGGGGCTACAGGGAGGCTGTGGGGGGCTGTGGGGGGCTGCTGTGGGGCTGCGGGGCAGGGGTACTGTGGGGGCTGCATCCCAGGCGCTGACCCTGCATTTGGGCCAATTTTAAACAGAGCCTTGCTTAGGTCCCAGGCAGGGAGGGAAAGGAGGGAGACGCGCTGTGAACGCAGGTCTGAGAAGCGCTGACCGGCGGCGTGAGTCATTCCCAGACACCCCGGGGAATCCAAATGTGCCTGGAAAGGGAGAGGCAGTCACCCTCCCTCCCGACCAGCACCCACCCACAAGACACCTATTTCTGTACCGCCTGGGGTGATGGAGGCCTGGGAGGGGCTGCCGCCCCGCATGTCCCCAGCCTCGGGCCTCAGCAGCTGCCTGTGGGTTGGGAGCGTCTGTTGTGCTTCCGCCTCTGACCTTCACTGCTGTTCTGACCTTGAGGAGAGGAGGGGTGGGTGGGGGGCTCGGGGGGCCGGGCCCTGACTGCTGTGGGTCTGGCTTCAGTGGGTGTTGCTGTCTTCTTGCCTGTGGTAGCCCAGAGCTCTGTTAAAATAAATTTCAGAGCTTTTATTTCTTCATTCTTTAAACCCCTTCTGAGGTCCTTCCCCAGCCCTTGTGGCTTCCACTACCTCTCTCCTTGCTGTCTGGGACATCCCACGGGGCTCCTGCTTCCCTGGGTCTGGGCTGGTCTCTCCTCTGGACACTCAGCCGGCCTCTACGCCCCTTGCCCCTCCCGCCTCCCCTCATCCCGGCCGTGGGGTTTCCCGCATCTCGATGGGAGGGGGCCGGCCAGCCCGAGTCCACACATACCCTTCATGTCCTGACCCCAGCCCACCAGGTCTCAGGGCTGCAGCCCTGCTGTACTTTCATGTTTGCCTCAGACCCGGCCTGGGTGCCTCAGCCCTGCTGAACTTTTCGCCTGTTCGTGTCCCCCGTGGCTCTGGTGCAGACCCCTGGGTGTCGCTGGTGTGAGGCCTGGCTGGGCACGCGGACCCTGGGATCCTCAGCGTCTGCACCTGGGTCCCTGTTGCCTCGCCCACCTGTCCTCTCAACTCTGCCCCCAAGGTAGAGGGCGTGGCCTCCGTGTGATTTTTTTCCTGCTGTCTTGGCTGGGCCTGGCTGGTCACCGTCACTGATGAGCTGTTGACCACAGGCTGCCCGCTGTAGCCCTGTGTGCTGTGCCTTTCACCGGCCGCTGTGCTCCCCTGCAGCCCCCAGATTGGGGTTTGGGCCCCAGGGTCCACTTGGGCCTCTCTGCGCTGGCGGCCGGCCTGGGCCTGGACCGGGGCTGTAGCCCCTCAGCCTGCTCAGCCGAGGGCCGAGAGCTGCCTTTGTCTGAGGTCTCCATCTGGGCCCGCTTTGTTCCCAGGGGTCTCCGTCTCTCGCTGGTGGTCTCCCCGGAGCCCCTGCGGCGGAGCCCTGGCCATCTGCACTGCTGCAAGGCGTGTACAGGGTCACGAATGAGGCAAGACCCCATGGTGGGGTCTTGAGACCCAGGCGGGGTCTTCCTGACTCATCCACTCCGCATAGGCTGCGTCCCCTGTCCTGTCTGCTGCCCACTCTCTCCCGCCACTCATCCCAGAAACCTGCCCATCAGCTCCCGTCTCGGCATCTGCATCTGGGCAACGGTGTGGCCCTGCAGAGGGCAGCCGTTCTGTCAGGTGGAATGGGACGAGGAGACGGACGGCAGCCTCTGTGGCCGGGCACTTCCGTTCTCCCTGTGATCGCTGCTTCACGTAACTGCTCTCTCCTGGGAAGTGGAACTCAGAGGGCGTTTAGATGCTTGCAGGAAGATACTTCTGGTGGGATTTTCAGGCTGCATCATTCCTTTCTTTGAGAAACGCCCTGAGGCATCTATTTGCTGCCTGCCTCATCGCTGTGATGTTCTGCCTCACGTAGCAGCGACAGCGTCTTTTGGACCCGTTGCCCTGAATTGGGAATGGGATGGACGTTCGGGTGTTTGCGCCTGGCGCCCTGTGGGGATGCACACAGCATGGCCAGGCAGGTTGCCGGCTGCTTGTAGACTTGCGGCTTTTCAGGACACACCGGCACCTGCCGTCTGATCTTACCTGCAGGGTATTTTATTGCTCAGTCAACTGAAGCAGAGATGAGTGACAGTTCTCAGACCACCCCGGCCTCTGGCCTCTGGACGTTCCTGTTAGCTCGAAAGATGCCCCTTTGGCCAGCCGGTGTCTGCTGAGAACCGCTCGGTCCGGGAGGGACGTGGACACGCAGACGCAGTGCTGCGCCTGGCGGAAGGGGACGCGCCACGGCCTCAGTGAAACTGTGACGCCTTGGACACTCGGGGACAGGTGCGGTGGCTTTGGGGGTGATCTGGGAGCCTCACGGAGGAGGAGACTTTGAGCGTGGCCTGGCACACGGGAAGGATGGAGACGCGAAGGAGGGCCCTGCAGGCGGAGAGAACACATGTACAAAGGTGCCCACGTTGGCAAACACGGAGTGCGTTTGGCTGCGGTGTAGGGCGAGTACGTCCAGTCACTGGACGCAGATGGACATTGCTTGTGGGGGCTCCAGAGCCTGGCCGGAGGGTCAGTGCTTCGTTCGGTGGGTGCTGGAGAGTGCTTTGGGGGAGGAGGGGGGAAGGGTGGTCCTAACTGTGGTGGAGACCCCCCCGCTGGTCAGTGCGGTGCTACAGTATTTAGAGAACAGACAGGGAAGGCGTTTGGGAAACGGGCCATTTGGCTGGAAAGGAGCAGTTGTTCCCGTCGGAGCCATCGAGCTATTCCAGGCTGGAATAGTCTGAATCACGAAGGAGGGTGAGTCGTACCCAGGACACGGATGGTCGGCCAGAGCTCACACTCTGCGAACTGTCCCGACCGGGGTCCCCGGGACTGAACACTGTGAGAAGGTGGCTTTAAGCAGGAGGTCGGCTCGATGATGGGCCTCTGAGCTGAGGCAATGCACAGGGTTCTGAGCCGGGGGTGCAGAGCCACTGAGTATCGGAGAACGGCCGAGATGCTATTCGGGTGACAGTGAGAAAAGCGTTTTTCCAGAGGAGGCATGGGCCGCTGAGCAGCTCTCAGACCCGAGCCTGCGCCAGGGTCACCCAGCATTTTCGAGCACGTGGACTCCCAGGTAGCCCGCGGCGTGGGCCTGTGCACCCCCTTCCCGGACACCAATGCCGCCCAGGGCCACCCGGAGAGCACCCCCTTCCCGGACACCGATGCCGCCCAGGGCCACCCGGAGAGCACCCCCTTCCCGGACACCGATGCCGCCCAGGGCCACCCGGAGAGCACCCCCTTCCGGGCACACTGATGCCGCCCAGGGCCACCCGGAGAGCACCCCCTTCCCGGACACTGATGCCGCCCAGGGCCACCCGGAGAGCACCCCCTTCCGGGCACACTGATGCCGCCCAGGGCCACCCGGAGAGCACCCCCTTCCGGGCACACTGATGCCGCCCAGGGCCACCCGGAGAGCACCCCCTTCCCGGACACCGATGCCGCCCAGGGCCACCCGGAGAGCCACGGGATGAGGGCTTCACTTAGTTGCTTGGTTTGTAGAAGTTCACAGAACCTGGTGTTGAAACTCTCTTGGCATACAGAGAGGAGAGGCTGGATTCTAGCTGTGAACTTTCACCGTAAAGTAACAAAGTGTGTTTCACAAATGAAAACAGCATTTTTGCACAGGTGAAAACTCTCTAGGCCTTTGCTTAGAGCCTTTCCCTGTAGGCAGATTTTGCCAATCGTGGTGTGAAAAACTAACTTGGATTAGCTTGCAGTGCCAAAGAGAATTGTGGTTTTGTGTCATAATTGCTCTGCCCCCACACACTCCGCTGAGTCAAGTGAACACAATAGCTTAACTTTTACTGGATTAGAAAGGGAGACAGAACTCAGGATTGGACTTGTTTGCTCAAATCACAGAATTGTGGAGTTGGAAGGAGACCCAGGGTCACCTGAGGCCCAGCCACTGAGCTTACAGATGGGGAAACTGAGGCCTGGAGAGGTTGGATGAGTTGCCCCAAGCCACCTGGTTTGTGGAAACAGCCGGGCCCGTCATCCTGACCCTCGGAGTGTCTCTCTGGAACCTTGCCTGCTGCCTGAGCTGTTCGGTGACTTGTGAGTGTGAGTGGACGCGTGTGAAGGTGTGTGCATGACATAAACAGGTCTCTCTTAATCAGCCACAGGAAGGAGTGAAGCCCTGAGTCTACAGCATGGAAGAATCTAGAAAACAT